AAATAGTTCTAACAATAATAACGTGATAGATAGAACCCTGCATACTTCAGCTGCATGAACGCATGAGATGAAAAAAACTTGACATCTCCATGTTTCTTATTTTGTTTGTTTTTTTTAATTTTTGTTTTGTTTGTCATAACACCTATTTCCTTGCTATTAGCTGGACGTCTTGTGTGCTCGTAAGTTAGCCTGTTGGTTCCGTTGTTGTATACCTTTTTCTAATTTGAGAACATTACATTGCTTAATTTGATTGACTAAAATTAATATGGCGTTTGCCGTCACAGAACCAGAAGACGCTTACTCATCCAGAACCCTTTTTATCAATGTATTTTTACCTGAGTCTCCGTGTAGATCTTTCAGATGTTTTATTTGCTGTGAGTTTGGATTATGATTATGTTCTCGCTTGGGTATATATCCTTGTTGTTTTTATTGACATATTTGGAAACAAATGTTTTATGTCAGCCCAAATCTTTGCGTCCAATTCCCCCGCATTGACATATGAAGTCGTTAAAATGCTTTCTGCTTGAATAGAGCTTACAAGGACTAGGTAGACAGTTATTAATTTGAGACATTTCGAATGTTCTAATATTGTACTCAGTAGCCAGGTCAACTAAGTACATCGTCACTGAAGAACAATGACTGTTGTGAGAATGAAAAACTCCAGACAAATGTGACCTAAATGTTATTTCGTTTCTTCTTTTTCAATACTGAAGTCGTATGGTTTGTTTTAAAACACACATGACAAAAATGTTTGGTATTTTGTTGAACCCAACTTCACACTATCTAATGACAACAATGTTGTGGTGTTAGTTAGGCAAGCATTGAATTGCTTTCAATTGGCATACATTGACTCATGAATGTCAGTTGAACAAAGTCAAATTCATCCTGAAGCGCATTAATTCTTATGTTTGCATACCTTGTATTTACTTTTTTTGTTCCAGTTGACAGTTATGGTATGATAACCAACAATCTCTTTACAAAAAATATATAATACAATGTTAGAAAATTGTTAATAGCATTATAGTGGAAATAATTAACGATTCACCGCCCGCATCTTTGAAGAAGTTGTCCTGAAAAAAGAAGATAATATTAATAGAACTACAGTTGACAATTGCACTTGACAGATCAGCGAACGACTGAAAAAAACATAAGTCAGAGTAACATTAACTAAATTGGTGAAATAGTATCCATATACATATATATCTTGTTGTGATTTTCCTTCTCAGATCACATGCACAGAGTTTTACTGTTTTGCTTTGAACAAACTACTAAAGGAAAGTTTCCATATCTGAACACTTTCAGGAATACAACCATACCACTGTCTTGACTGCGCCCAAATTTGGACATTTTAAATTCTATTTTATTTAATACGGGAACTGGAAGGGATCAATCATGGGCGACCAAGTAGCTCCATTGGCAGATCTTTTGTCTCAACTTAGGAGGGTCCCAGGTTTATTGAAGTATACATATACAAAAGGTGGCAAAGCCATTACCATGTTTTAATTGTCAGACAGGGAGAAGTTTGATTGAGAGTGTACTTCACGCAATCACGGAAATTATAACTTTCAATAAGTTGTTCACTATGGTTTTCATGATAATTTGGTTTCCATTGGGATTTGTACCCATTTTTACTTTGAAGGTAATAAACAAATTTTTACTTTGAAAGTAATAACAAATTTATTTCTGCCTATAGTAATGATTTCTTATATATCAACGTATTTCTGAAATTATTAATTTCGCATGTTTATTTTTCCAAAAGTTACAAAAACATTAAAATGAGAGAGTATTTTGTACCTTGTAAATGTTCCAATTTAACCTTGGTAGAGCAAAATATACCATATCAATACCAAATATCATAAACGCTCGTTGTGTAATTTTGTAATCCGTGGAAAGTGTGAGGAGAATGAAACGTCAATCATAATTCTATTACATTTAGGCTATGACATTACTGTATATTATAATGAGTAATTTTGGCATAATTGAATAATTGAAGTCCTTGAAACATAACAACATTTTTCTTTATATCCTCTGTCACTTTGATTACCGCCGTCATGATTTAATCGTCTTTATTATGTTCATAAACTCCGCCTATTTTCGGTAATTTGATTATGTTTGATAACGCATATAAATCACTCAGTGACGTGTCAGCTGTCATACAGGGACGGTAGGCGAAAAAGCAAGCTTTCCCCCACACCCTTTAAAGTACGAATTGTTCAATCAATACTTGTAATGAAATCACTACGGTACAATTTTGAACTAAAAGTTATGAGAGAATTTTATGGGGGTATTTTTGTAATTGTCTTTAGTAAATGGATACTTTAGCGGTACAAGTATTATTACAGCATCTGCGTCAGGGGAAATATTTAAACATGTAAAACGGAGTTTATCACGTCAATCTTTTATGACTGTATCTATCTGCTCAAACTGTGTGATGTATGTATGTATGGTATGTATGTATGTATGTATGTATGGTATGTATGTATGTATGTATGTATGTATGTATGTATGTATGTATGTATGTATGTATGTATGTATGTATGTATGTATGTATGTATGTATGTATGTATGTATGTATGTATGTGTGCATGTTTGTGTGCATGTATGTGTGTATGTATGTGTGTATGTATGTATGTATGTATGTATGTATGTATGTATGTATGTATGTATGTATGTGTGCATGTTTGTGTGTATGTATGCATGTATGCATGTATGTATGTATGTATGTATGTATGTATGTATGTATGTATGTATGTATGTATGTATGTATGGTATGTATGTATGGTATGTATGTATGTATGTATGTATGTATGTATGTATGTATGTATGTATGTATGTATGTATGTATGTATGTATGTATGTATGTATGCATGTTTGTGTATTGGTGTGTTTGTGTGTGTGATAAAAATATTATAGATTAATGTCTAGCATCAGAAAAAGTCATTATCTCATTATCTAGATGGAAAGAGGCACTAGCACAAACATTCAATAAATTGCATAATTTTCATATATCTGATCATTTTGGAATAACTTAAAGTACATCCAGAACCGTGCTATAATTCGAAAAAATTAAAACGTTGAATGCAGGACACTGCAAACCTGTGGGACTAAAAGTACACCAGCAGTGTCTACCACCTGCAATCTCGAATATTGCGCAAAACACACAAAAATTGGATAGCACCTTTAATATAATGTTAACAAAGTATTCGTAGATGTATGAATAAAATAATTAAAATCATCAACATTTATTAGGACTATGAAAGCAATTTTCACCATTTAATTAATTTTAGGAGAAATTAGGACTGACGGTGTCTTTTAAATAAGTGCCTCGAGAACGCGAACAAGCGTTGTAATACATTTTGGAAGGACAGAGTTCACCCACCACGCACCGTTGCAAAACATATTTAATAAACAAGATTTGATTTCATTTTGTTTCAAGTTTTGTGCAATAATGTGAAGTCAGCATATCGTGAAGTACAGCATGTCGCATTTCCTGCTTAAGTCATTAATAATATCACAAGTTCTAAAATTATATTCAGTAAATGTTTCATGCAATAAAAGTTTCCTTCGGTGTGCGGAATCGACTTTGAAATAGATACAGAAAGAGTTGAAAATTGATACTATATTGATATCAAACACCTGCTTTTTCCTGTAAGTCCAACTAGTTAAATCGGAGGTAAAATTTTAAGATGTTGGAAATTCGATCTAAACGAATGTGAATGTAAAATGGATGAGAGACCTTTATGAATTCATAAGACTATAGATTAACTCTGCACTGACATCATGATTCATTAAAAAAAAGAAAATACCAACACGTCACCAGAAGCTTAATTCAAATTCGTTGAAACTGTAGAAAATATGTACAAATGAAAGATTTGCAAGGAGACTCTATAAAAAGTACAAAGAGAAAAAGATCAGGTACAAAGATGGCGACATGCATGATAATAAAATATATGTATATAAATATTACGTAGATTTATTAATTTCTTTTGTAACAAAAATGTTATATCAAGTCAGGAGTCTTTTCTATTTATGAGATTAGAATACAGTTCGTTGTTGATTACTATCATGGGGTAATGAATTGAACATTTCGCAGCGGCAAAATTAACAATACACATAAAAGAATATAGCCTCAATTATGTATCCCGTTTACAATCCGATTCCCAATTTTTTTCAACTCACTCATCAGTATTTTCACACGTGTTCCACCATTAATAACAAATGGGAAGATGGGAACCGTTTTACTTTCGCATATATTGTAATTCCGTTTGGGCAACCTGAAGATTTGAAACAAACATGGACATTTTCAAAATTTGATAAATCTAATGTAAATCCATATTCAACTATCTCCAAACGAAAGATTCATGTATCCTGTGATTGTTTCATAAATTCTTGTCTTGAACAAGGGCAATACTTCATTTGAACGGCAGAAAAAATTATACACTTACAACATGCAATAAAACGTATTTGCATAATTATTACGTGGCTGTGTAAATAGTTTCAAGGAATGTCTATTCTAAAAGAACTTAGGGTTCAAATGATGTCAAACCTCGACGCGACCAACCGGTGCTGAATTAATGCTGATTTCAGTCAATTTGCGTAATGAAATTCTTAGATCTGACATCTAAAATATCCCTGTATTATTAAAGCCGTGCTGAATCACACCATGTCAAACATGATTCCTCTGTCAGGGATTTATAATGACAAATACCTTCAATAAAATTACTAATTAGAAATATCTTATTAATCAGGTTTTTAAATCATCGTTAATTACTTACCAGATGGCACCTATCATCAGTACAATTTTTAAGTATCAGCATTTAAATTCGCCAAGTTGATTAATGAAAATAATAAACAATTTTGTATGGAGAGCGATACGTCGGGTTTGATTGTGAGAGGAATAGAATCATTGACTATTTCTAATTTAATAATCAGGATATATATATAAAGAAAACACCGAAAATTCATCATATAAACATTGAATGACAAGATAAAATTCAAGAATGATTTTCTACGGTGTGCCGATGGCTCTACTGAAGAAATGTGTTGAATTGGACATGAACTACTTACCCCTGTACTTAGAAGAGGTCTTTTTCTCAGTTTGATTGCATCGGCGGATGTACGACCTTGTATTTCCGAAGCTTATATAGATCTGTAGGAGGTGCCTCCAGATATATAGACTTTATCTTAAACTGTGTCGTAGTTATATCGATTTCGAATGAATCAAAAGAGACCCATTCAAAAATAGATATGGGGTTACTTACAAGACAAACTCGATTGACCCTCAGGGTAAAAACAAAGTGGTAAAATATTTTTGTGACCCTTGTGACCATGAACTACTTACCCCTGTACTTAGAAGAGGTCTTTTTCTCAGTTTGATTGCATCGGCGGATGTACGACCTTGTATTTCCGAAGCTTATATAGATCTGTAGGAGGTGCCTCCAGATATATAGACTTTATCTTAAACTGTGTCGTAGTTATATCGATTTCGAATGAATCAAAAGAGACCCATTCAAAAATAGATATGGGGTTACTTACAAGACAAACTCGATTGACCCTCAGGGTAAAAACAAAGTGGTAAAATATTTTTGTGACCCTTGTGACCATGAACTACTTACCCATGTACTTAGAAGAGGTCTTTTTCTCAGTTTGATTGCATCGGCGGATGTACGACCTTGTATTTCCGAAGCTTATATAGATCTGTAGGAGGTGCCTCCAGATATATAGACTTTATCTTAAACTGTGTCGTAGTTATATCGATTTCGAATGAATCAAAAGAGACCCATTCAAAAATAGATATGGGGTTACTTACAAGACAAACTCGATTGACCCTCAGGGTAAAAACAAAGTGGTAAAATATTTTTGTGACCCTTGTGACCATGAACTACTTACCCCTGTACTTAGAAGAGGTCTTTTTCTCAGTTTGATTGCATCGGCGGATGTACGACCTTGTATTTCCGAAGCTTATATAGATCTGTAGGAGGTGCCTCCAGATATATAGACTTTATCTTAAACTGTGTCGTAGTTATATCGATTTCGAATGAATCAAAAGAGACCCATTCAAAAATAGATATGGCGTTACTTACAAGACAAACTCGATTGACACTCGGGGTAAAAACAAAGTGGTAAAATATTTTTGTGACCCTTGTGTCCAAAAGCCTATCCTACATAAACATATATTAAAGAATAAAGAATATAACCGTCATTTTCACTAGTACTAAACATCTGGGTCTTGGGTTCGAACCAGGTACTGGCCGCAGGTTGGTAGGTTTTCCATTAGGAGATCAGGCTTTCCTATCCCGCCCAACCTGGCACATTCTTAGAAGATCTGGAAAGTTATTAATATGTTAAGCAGCAATAAATCAAACCAAATTTTCAAATTGTAACTTTTCTTCTTCTGAATTTGACTTTTAAACAACACAATTTTATTCTCTACACTCATATTTCTCAAAATCCTGTGTCAATAACGTAATTTCAACAATAATCATCAATATGCAATTCAATATTCAGATTACATCTTTTGAAACCTTGTGTTACGTGTTTGTCCGTCAGCTGACGACTTCTTGCACGAAAATCGTGATAAAGGGAACAAGCCCTTGACTATCGAATCAGCTACCGACATGTAAACATCAAGTTTTTATCTCCAGATGCGATACGAAAGTTTCACATCTTAAGGCATAAGACTTCATAAAATCTAACTTTGGACGTAAAATAAGTAAATCCATTAAGTGTAACAGAAATAATTAAATTCCGATCTGCCAAGATAAATACGGCCAATTTTGCTACAATAATTTACTGTAATGTATTTTAGGGGAAAAACTGCTATATTCATAGCAAGTATGACTGGTGAAAATCTATAAAAATATCAAAACTTGACCATGCATGCAAGAAAGTCGAGCATTGCGTGATTAACTATGACCTCATTTTTATTGTAAGCCATTCCATCTTATAATGTATATGTTAATTAGGACCTCTTGACTACCCATTGGGCTATTACAACCTCATTCATCTTTTCTGTCTTTTGCTATTATTTATTTATTATTTATTTCAGTATTTGGTTATTTAATGTTTTGTCTTTGTGTTGATATATCATTATTCATTTCCAGGGATTACGTCTTAGCTTTGCGAAACAACAGAATGCCAATGCACAACCAACTAGCACTGTATTTTCCGCCAAAAATTCGCCAAGGTTTACTAGACCAGCAAGACTCGGAAGTTCTGGAACGCAGAGAACAAGAGTATTTCAAGGCTCCCAAATGATGGCAACGAGTGCACCCTTTCGACGCCAGTATCCTTCCAATGGCAGAAACCCATTCTTTAATCGTCAACAGCAAATGGTTACAAATGCGCCATTTATCACTCGTCAACAACAAACACAGGTATTACTGTCACCATGGGTAATCACTTATATTTCGAGTGGAATTTTTTCGCATTTATACGCGGGGAAAGTCAATCGCAAATTCAAAAACCTCGTAAACAACGTCGGATGGAATCTTAAAGAATGCGGGTCTTTAATGGCTCATCATTTTCAGAATTAAAGGTGGGGTGGATTATGGTAACCTACAAGTCCCTGCATTAAGGTGACTATTAATATGAGACTGCATAAGGCAACATGCAGATCTGTTGCGTAGTAAGGAAGTAAGGTATCAGGCGGTTTCGTGTAAAATACAAACATAGTCACGACCTAGGAAAGGTATTTGGTTATCATAGACAGAGTAAGGTAACCTGGGAAGTCCAAGACACATAATCGTGATTATCAATTGTACTTGGGAGGAATATTTTCCAAGTGATGAACACACCATGCAAATATTTGTCTGAGCCTGAATAAGGCAATTAGTCATCTGGGTCGTGGGACAGTACTCTTCCGAGGAACCAGGTAACCTATTACTTAGCTTAGACACATGAAGGTATATATTGGTCGTAGGAGGAACCAGGTAACCTTTTACTTAGCTTATACACATGAAGATATCTATTGATCGTCGGGAAACCAGGTAACATATTACTTAGCTTAGACACATGAAGGTATATATTGATCGTAGGGAAACCAGGCAACATATTACTTAGCTTAGACACATGAAGGACTTTTTGACATTAGGAGGAACCAGGTAACTGTTTATTAAGCTAAGTCACGTGAAGGTGTCGGTTGAGCTAAGACCAAAAAGGTAACCAAGGACCTACGTGGCATTTATTTATTAATGAGCTATAAATAATTCACCTGGTGCGGTTTAGAGTAACTGAACTGGCAAAACCTCATACCATGCATATATCAAAAACATTATTTTTTTCCTTTCAAAGAAACATTTACTTTTTATTTGATAGAATTCCTGGAACAATCAAAACAAGCAAGCTGACCGTTTCGGTTCAAATTCGAAACAAAGACAACACCCAATGCAACAAAACGCAATACAACCTCAAAAGAACATGGTGATGAGTGGACTTCCTACATTTCACCCCGTTCTTCGACATTTCGCCCAACCCTATCAATTTAAAAAAGAACAAATAACAACACAAGCGCCACCTGTCACTGTCATACAGAGGTTCTCTCCCCCTAACTATGCTTTTGGTAACGTGAATAAATCGCCATCTTATAAATTTGAACCATCAGTACAGCCACAAAGACAAAATCAAAGACAAGAAGTAAATCAGGGAAACTTCCAGACACTTAATCAAAACAATCAGGGCAATAACCAGGCACAGCAACATCCAATGGCCGAAAGCTTGATTAATATAACGCCTCCTCCACCACCATCACAACAGATTCGGCAGGCCCAGGGAGGCGGGGGTGGAAGAACGAAATCCGGCGGTGGAAACAATAAACCGCTTATGAAAATTGGAATTGATAACAAGAAAATGAATAATCCGCCTCCACAATTGTTGGCTAACAACGTCCCTTTTTTTCAAAAGCCAAATTCGCAAAGAGATTGGATGAACAACCCAAACCCTAGACGACGGGGCGGTAATCGACGGCCCAATAGACGAGGGAAAAATTTAAATTGGATGAATAAGGGAAAACGGGGAAGGCGACCTGGTAAGCAGCGTCAAAGACCAATGCCAGAGATGACAACACTTCAACCATTCAACCAACCATTCGACCCTCAAGCCCCCTTCCCAGGACAGCAGCAGCCAGGGTTTCCATTCCATGGCCCTGCTTTGTTTAACAACCAAGGACCAACATTTCCAACGATGCCACCAAGCAGGCCAACCGGACCACCAACCGGACCACCGACTGGGCCACCGACAGGGCCGCCAACCATGCCGACAGAGCCGCCAGTTTATCCACCAACAGCTCCTTCACCATATGCTCCTACATTTCCACCGCCAACTGATCCATTTTACGTGCCGACATCACTTAACCCCACTACCAGAGTGACGCCGGCACCCACTAGGGCGGCGCCCTTACCAAAAACGACCATTGATGGAATAGGTAATTCCTGTCACCACACAGCAGAATGTAGCGCCGGGTGTTGTTTTGACCAATCTGGAGCCATGTTGGATACTGACACTTATGGACCAAATGGCCTCAAAAATGGTCTCGGTAGGTATCGAATTTACATAGTTTCCTACAATTTTTAGTTTATAGTTTATTTATCACAAGAAATAAAGATAAATTTAACATGTTCATATAACATCATCTTTTAAATCCTTTACAGATGAGAGATTTTGATGGGAATTTTCTTGAAACATTTTTGAAAACAGCGAAGGCGGAAAAGCTACATAAATAGAGGCCACACAGAAAGTGCTTCCTGTATAGGGTATCCCTCTGTATTTCCCTTAGTAACTTGTTTTTCGAAAAAGCAACTAAAACCTCCAGTTTCAGGGAGTGTTCCTTTCAATACAATTCTGAAAGAGAGAACGATATATAGTATCCAACTTGCGCGATCTGTTTGTCAACGATATCAGTTAAGGTGTAATGAGCAAAAATCAAAATTGCAAGAATAGGTGGAAACATAATTTATTGAAAAGTATTCAGCGGTTTCATAATCATGAAAACAATAAATAGATATACAGAAATTAATACCGAAATCAATTTATTAAAACTAATAAACTAATTAATGAGCGTTTTCATTTCCTCAAGTGCTCTTCAGGTCAAAGTGAACCAACTTAACGTTTACATTTTATTCTACGGGTGGTCAAAACGTATAGATATAGAAAAACTAGTTGTTATAATTAATCAATGCTTCAGCAGTTAATATCACTTTATCTTATTTCTTGGTTTTACTACAGATTCTATACTTCATAGCACGTGAATATAAAGGTATATACTCAAGTCATATAACTAAGACAGTTGCAAACTTAACACTGCTACAGTGTATGTCATTAATGAGAATTTTATTATATTAGCCTATGCCACCTAGTAGAAAACATACCTCTGAGTGTCTTATTTTGAAATTAATAATAAATAAATAATTGGTTCTGTCGTTGTTTCCCTAAGTGTTGACCCTGTTATGAGATATGAGTTCTTGAAACGCGACCTATGTATTGGAGCGTTCAGTCATAGCTTCTTAGTTAAAGTAATCACACGGAAAGCGTTTTATTTTATGTCGCTTAATATAGAAATAATGTAAACCAAATATTTTTTTCTAGAATTTCGTCATACTTACTATGAATAGGATAAATCTCCTACCTCTTGAGTGCTAGCCTTCTACGTGGAAGGTATGAGAGTTAGTCGGCAGGTTTAGCTCTCTAATGTGCTCTTCAAAGATTATACAAATGACGTTTAAGCAAATAGCACCTATTAACACAAATTTAAATAAATGGAGACAAACCATGAATTCAACTGCATCATACAACTGTTTCGTCCTTGTAGGACAGTCATTGATGCCAAGAGTATAAATTTAAATTCAAAAAATGAATTTAAGTTATTCTGAAGTTGTATGTTTTGAAAGGAGATTAATGTTCCAGTTGTTTTTATGTGTAACAGCTACCGGTACCTGTCAGATGAAACAGCCTGGTCTTGGTGAAACATGCGATGACCTCTGTGCCTGCAAGACAGGTAAGCATACCTCATGTTAATGTTTACTAGTATGATGTGCATATGTCATGTCAGTAAAGCTTGTATATGCAGTTGGAAAAGATATATAGAGCAAAGATTATCCAAAGGAATCTTCGTGCCCTCTATTGTATATACTATACATCTAAAATTATAGTTTAACAAATCTTTATTGAATATTTTTCTTAATCTTATCCTCAAAATGCTCATGAATTGGCAAGTCGTTGGCATGGCAACCATTCAGAACCTAGACCAAGAATGGCGGCATCTTGTCAGTTCAGGCGGATGTTTGACTTCGATATTAGGAAAGTGTATGATGCAGACATTGTGTCATCGAAATGTGAAATGAAGGCCGTTAATGGTAAATTTCGTGACAATTTGTTTCAATATTCTTCGATTCCATGTCATTTGTTGGTAATGTCAAGAATATAATAATAACGGTTTGCTATATTCTCCATCAAAGCATCAACTTCAGCTGCTACACATTAGATAATTCATACATCACACAGTATTACCTCTTACCCTTACTGGATAGTTATGTACAGAACGATACATACATGTAAATCCCAATTTGAAAAGAAACATAATGACAACTTTTGATGAGTCTGAGATTCTAAGTCATCAACGGTGAAAATGAGTGCTTAGACTGGATAAGAACATGTGAGGGACTCTTTTTAACAAAAATGTGCAGATCTTCGTTGACAATAGGATAATAAGATCACTTTTAGTCTCAAATAATTTTAGAAAAGAGTTACATTTTAGTATTTTTTGTGTTATGGATGTACTGGAGTTTAGATAATGTTATAACAACCAGAAATTGCATAAAAACAAGCATACTGTTATCTAAATAGAGAACGATAATCCAGAAGCTCGAGACCGAGAGAGACAACGTATACAATGACCCATCCGGTCTTTCATGTGAAATAGAAATAACGAACTTTAAATATCAAAATCCAAGATCGACATGTGTCAACCATGTCTTTTGCTTTCTTTCGTTTTTCTATGATTCCCATGATGGGCAATGCAACTTTAGGGATCAAAGTGTATTTGCATATGAACTGACACCGTTTTGTACACTCAATCACATGAATTGAATTTTTAACATATATTATACGGTTTTACTATTACCAAATATGTAGTACATGATTGAACTTAAACTTTGATATTATTGCAGATTTGAGTGTAAAGTTTGCTTGAGGAACATATTGTATCAGGATGTTTTTTTCTGGATAGTTGATTTGAGGTCGACTTGTTGATTTTATCATGTAAAGATATATTTTCCTGATAATACAACAGCCTGATTTAATGTTGATACCATAGTTGTAGTGCAGCTCTAAATCATTAAACGTCTTAGAATTTCGGTTCTTAAGAATATAAAAATGAGTATGAAATGAATATTTAAAGAGACGTAGCGTTAGACGACGGAGTGAAACACGTGATGTTGTAACGGCACATCTACAGAAAAAATCAAAATGATGAAAGGTTTCTGTGTGTGTGAAATTTCATCAAATTAGATAAAGAACTCATTTTTAGAGACACAAAGATACATAGCATAGTGTTATTCATCATAACCCTGTTGAATATTTTGCAGGGTTTGAATGCTATCGCCGGTATAAGCCCAACTACAAACAAGGGAAAGTTATGGCCCAAAATCCCTTGTACGAGCCACCAGAGCCTCCCTCCAAACCTCGACGGACTTGTATGCGAAAGGCTGTATCTCTGGCCGAGCGCTGGGCGTTCTGGAAATGTTACTTCGATACAGCTTGTTCTGGACCATTGTTAAAGTAGCTGCCACAAATATGTCTTCTTGGTTACGAGTGCCAAACGCCAGCGAGAGTCATCAAATATTGCTCTTGCACAAGGCTATCATTCGTTATAACGTAACGTTATCAGCTACTTTTTATGATTGTTTTTGCAATATCTCAAATTGATACACAGTAAACATATTTTGTTGTTTACACCAAGTCATGATATGATGATTTATTTAAAGTAGGGAGCGTGACTGTCACAACATTTTTACGACCGATAATATTTAATCTAAAATTTAAGGAACTCTATTAGCAATTAGATTGATACATAACGTCAAGTATCGATCAATTAAATTTTGGTGTAAACATGATCATGGTATTTCGATAAGAAGTCCCCAACAGTCTAATGACAATTTCTTATAAATCGTTTTAAACGAAGAGCTGAAATTTTTTTCCACGGGTAAATTTTTTGGCGATTTTCTAACAACGATCGAATAATATTTTAGTGAATTAAACATGTAACCATCTAATGTTAAATAACATCTTATACACTTCCTTTATTTCAAGGAATAAAGTTTCTTGGTCACGTATGAGTACCGTGAAACAGTAAAGATATCATTCTTGCAAAAATAAACAGCTAAACGGTATTTCGAATGGTGACAAGATAACAGCAGGGAGGAAGTTACGCTGTTATGCATAATCAAATATATACATTAATATTACCACTTTATTTGATATGAACACCCCACTGTTATTGTCAAATTATTGTTGACAGTGATTAAACAATCGGGATGAACTAGCAAACTGATATTTTATTGAAAGTTTCAATTGAGGGTATATGAAACAATTAGAAAGCATTTCAAATTCAGATACGGTATAGTTTACGTATAGATATGGTGATATTTTGATTAGTAGTGTCATGGCTTTCAATCGCTGTATTAATGTATCATAAAAATGACTAACAAGGTGGATCATCCAGAAGTATTCAATAATTCATATTTTAATTAGACATGACAAGTTGAAGACCGAATATCACATCCTTATGACTAGACAGAGTAATGATCTTAAACAAATGTTAAAGTGCATCGATCGGTTTTCATTTTTTATTCTTTCATGTCGTATTGCATACATATGTAATTATGCAGGTGAATTTGTATGAGTTTTTAGAGACTTAATTAATTTTTTAATTTTAATTCTAATATCGTTTGATAATCTTATTGAGATTTATAAAGATCAAAGATCGTTAACTGTAATATATTTTTTATTATGGCACATATGATGCTAAGTCAACCAGTGTACTATAGAAGAGGCTACCTGATGCTTTGTTGTTTGTCTACACTAATAAACGACACAAAGAATTGAAACATCTCGAGGTTAGTTTTGTTGCTGATATAAAAACAACGTTATTGTATTAAATGACAGGTGAACAGGTGACACTAATATTGTGCTGTACTAAGTAAAAAAAGGATAAAAAAATTGTGGCCTCTTATTCTCTCTTATTCTTTGCAACTGATTTGTCAATCTGTGTTATAAAATCAGTACTTTGTCTGTGTGCAAGAGTTGCCAAAACAATCACAATCCTATGTTTAAATGCGGTTTCTGAAAGACGACTTAGTGTGCAAGAACAAGAAAATATCAACATGTGAACGCAGTCATAATCCAAACTAATATTCTATTATAAAATTGAAATAAATTCATAAGAAGAATGAAACATGGCGTTATGGAAGAGTAAACATCTTCGGCTTTATTGACCACACCGGCACGTAAGTCTTGGTCAGTCGAAGTAAGTAATCGTAAATTAATTTTCGTCAGACAAAAAAGTGCATTTCCTCAGGGCCGACTTTATTGATAACAAAATGGGACAACGATTGAAGAAATGGCAATATATATATAAATAAAAAAGAGCGTTGGTGTGATACCACCTATTCCTGGATGGGAATCACTTTCTCCTGGGTGTGGTATCACTTTCTCCCTGGGTGTGGTATCACTTTCTCCCTGGGTGTGATATCACTTTCTCCTGGTGGTGATATCACTTACTCCTGGGCGGGATATTACTTTCTCCTGGATGGGATATTACTTTCTCCTGGGTGTGGTATCACATTCTCCTGGTTGTGATATCACTTACTCCTGGGCGGGATATTACTTTCTCCTGTGTGTGGTATCACTTTCTCCCTGGGTGTGGCATCACTTTCTCCTGGATGGGATATTACTTTCTCCTGGATGGGATATCACTTACTCCTGGATGGGGTATCACTTACTCCTGGGTGGGATATCACTTACTCCTGGGTGTGGTATCACTTTCTCCTGGGTGTGATATTACTTTCTCCTGTGTGTGGTATCACTTTCTCCCTGGGTGTGGCATCACTTTCTCCTGGATGGGATATTACTTACTCCTTGGCGGGAAATTACTTTCCCCTGTGTGTGGTATCAGTTTCTCCCTGGGTGTGGCATCACTTTCTCCTGGATGGGATATTACTTTCTCCTGGATGGGATATGACTTACTCCTGGATGGGGTATCACATACTCCTGGGTGGGATATCACTTACTCCTGGGTGGGACATCACTTACTCCTGGATGGGATATCACTTACTCCTGAGTGTGATATCACTTTCTCCTGGTGGTGATATCACTTTCTCCCTGGGTGGGATATCACTTACTCCTGGGTAGGATATCACTTTCTCCTTGGTGGGATATCACTTACTCTTATATGGGATATCACTTTCTCCTGGTTGTGGTATCACTTTCTCCTGGATTGGATATTACTTTCTCCCTGGGTGTGATATCACTTACTCACCGGGTGTGATATCACTTACTTCTGGGTGGGATATCACTTACTCCTGGGTGTGGTATCACTTTCTCCTGGGTGTGATATTACTTTCTCCTGTGTGTGGTATCACTTTCTCCCTGGGTGTGGCATCACTTTCTCCTGGATTGGATATTACTTACTCCTTGGCGGGAAATTACTTGTCCCCTGTGTGTGGTATCACTTTCTCCCTGGGTGTGGCATCACTTTCTCCTGGATGGGATATTACTTTCTCCTGGATGGGATATGACTTACTCCTGGATGGGGTATCACATACTCCTGGGTGGGATATCACTTACTCCTGGGTGGGACATCACTTACTCCTGGGTGGGACATCACTTACTCCTGGATGGGATATCACTTACTCCTGGGTGTGATATCACTTTCTCCTGGTGGTGATATCACTTTCTCCCTGGGTGGGATATCACTTACTCCTGGGTGGGATATAACTTTCTCCTTGGTGGGATATCACTTACTCTTATATTGGATATCACTTTCTCCTGGGTGTGATATCACTTTCTCCTGGTGGTGATATCCCTTACTCCTGGGCGGGATATTACTTTCTCCCTGGTTGTGGTATCACTTTCTCCTGGATTGGATATTACTTTCTCCCTGGGTGTGATATCACTTACTCACTGGGTGTGATATCACTTACTTCTGGGTGGGATATCACTTACTCCTGGGTGTGGTATCACTTTCTCCTGGGTGTGATATCACTTACTCCTGGGTGTGGTATCACTTTCTCCTTGATGGGATATTACTTTCTCCCTGGGTGTGGTATCACTTTCTCCGGGTTGGGATATTACTTTCTCCTGGGTGTGATATCACTTTCTCCTGGATGGGATATTACTTTCTCTTGGGTGTGGTATCCCTTTCTCCTGGGTGTGATATCACCTTCTCCTGGGCGGAATATTACTTTCTCCTGTGTGGGGTATCACTTTCTCTCTGGGTGTTGCATCACTTTCTCCTGGATGGGATATCACTTACTCCTGGATGGGGTATCACTTACTCCTGGGTGGGATATCACTTACTCCTGGGTGTGGTATCACTTTCTCCTGGGTGTGATATCACTTTCTCCTGGGTGGGATATTACTTTCTCTTGTGTGTGGTATCACATTCTCCTGGTGGTGATATCACTTTCTCCTGGTGGTGATATCACTTTCTCCTGGGTGTGGTATCACTTTCTCCCTGGGTGTGATATCTCTTTCTCCTGGTGGTGATATCACTTACTCCTGGGTGTGGTATCACTTTCTCCTGGGTGTGATATCACTTACTCCTGGGTGTGATATCACTTTCTCCTGGTGGTGATATCACTTTCTCCTTGATGGGATATTACTTTCTCCCTGGGTGTGATATCACTTTCTCACTGGGTGTGATATCATTTACTCCTGGGTGTGGTATCACTTTCTCCTGGGTGTGATATCACTTACTCCTGGGTGTGATATCACTTTCTCCTGGTGGTGATATCACTTTCTCCTTGATGGGATATTACTTTCTCCCTGGGTGTGATATCACTTTCTCACTGGGTGTGATATCACTTACTCCTGGGTGAGATATCACTTTCTCCTGGTGGTGATATCACTTTCTCCTGGATTGGATATTACTTTCTCCCTGGTTGTGGTACCACTTTCTCCTGAATGGAATATTACTTTCTCCTGGGTGTGATATCACTTTCTCCCTGGGTGTGGTATCACTTTCTCACTGGGTGTGATATCACTTACTTCTGGGTGTGATATCACTTACTCCTGGGTGTGGTATCACTTTCTCCTGGGTGTGGTATCCCTTTCTCCTGGGTGTGATATCACCTTCTCCTGGGCGGGATATTACTTTCTCCTGTGTGGGATATCACTTTCTCCCTGGGTGTGGTACATGTGACAAGTTTGCTATGTAAATTTTAAGGGTTGTTTATATTAAGTGAAGGTTTTAGCTGGGTGAGCTATACACTGTAACACTTAATATCTAAGGTACAAAGTATGTTTCTACTACAGTCACACAGCCCAAAAAACGATCAGAATGATACCAAGTGTTACAGTATATTTTAATCGCACACATTTTAAAACGGTCTCTGTACAATTTCATTTGATGTAATTGGTGCAGTTTGGTACCCAGGCCAAATGATTGTACAAAACCCACACAAGTGAATGATCACCTTTTGGATACGAATTTATATTGTATTGTAAAAAGAGACAAACAATGAATTAAACTATAACATACAGCTGACTCGTCCTTCTTGGACT